GCTCATATCCTGGTAAAATAGCCACATGGCAGCCGAAAACCGTATACCCTAGCTTGTTGTGCACTCTTTCCCAAAATCGGGACTTTTTAAAACACCACAGGACACGGGGAAAAATTGCTAAAAAGCTGGACGTCTGGTCACCTTACCCATACCCTCCAAGGAACCCCCCCCCCCCACCAACCCAAAGCACAGTTAACTGATCTCAGAGAGGCAAAGATACATCTGCAGGTCACAGGGCTGAGCTTTTGTGTCTCAGAGCCCAGAGCCTGCCATCCTTGCCACCTTGCCTCTAACGGTAGCCTGAAGAATCAGAGAGAGGCGGTAATTAATTATAATCTGATACAATTTAAAGATCACGACCGTCCCTTAACTGCGTGTGCAATCCACAGTGCACAAAAACCACAAGACGGCTTTCTGTAGCCCATCATCCAAGTGCCAGCAACGATGATTGCCAACGGAGTTAGGCAAATGCCAACAGCAGGGCAGCTGCTTTCTTTCCAATGGGGTCCCGGGAGATGGTTACGTGTTAAAACGAATCGTCTTCTTGCGGCCCTGTGACTCCATGGCACGGGCTTGCTTCACCTAATAAAATCAGACATGAGTTTTGAGAGGAATGGGGCAGAGCGATGGACAAAACGCATCTTTGTGTAAATCCCCAGACACTCTCTCTCGAGAACACGGGCTCTTTAAAGAGTCGGGTCAAATCCCCCAGAAATCAAGTGAGTCCAGCTATGTCCTCTTTCACTTCCCCGGAGTCCCTGCTGAGTGGCTTGCTTGCTAGCGGCATGCTAAGATTGTCATTTGTAAAAAGCGGGCCGCTCAGCTATAATTACTAATTTGATGTCACACTGGAATTGCAGCGCAGCTGTGAAAAGACCGACTGCCAGGGAGATCCGCATTTCTCTGTCTCATTTAGAGGGGGCTAAACTGCTGGAGCCACGAATGGAGGGTGGCCTTCCACGGGAAAGGAACAGATTAAAGGATAAAACAAGTCCGAGCAGCTGTCAGAATCTGACAAGGGTTGGGGGGGGGGGGGCACTGTTTTCTCTTAAGAAAACAATTCAAGACATCTGTACGTGCATGTTCTGATACTTGTTGCCACTAAAGTGATTCCATTATGGTTGAAATATAACTTCTTGATTTCCTCCAGTTTCCCCCTCATTATTATGCTAATGCAAATCACACGGATTCTGTGTCCAGCTTTGAAATCTCTGAGACGGGGCTTGTCAGTACCGTATATCACGACATGTTTGAGGTGACAGCCTTAAACCTTTGTCACCAACAAGTCAGAAGTACGGGGAATTAAAAGAGCTGTCCAGATTCAAATGGAGGGAAACCCACAAGTCATGCTTTCAGTGACTTACGAAGCCCGGTCAGGAGCTCCCCTAGCAGAACACTGCTCGCCCGGTCCAGAGCACGGTTTCCCATGGTAGCAATGAAGAAAGAGCAGATGCTGGCTGATCATGCGATCTCATTGACAAAAGGCTCAACAGGACAGATAAAGTAATTACTGTCCGTCCGCCCCCCTACCCCCAGAAATAGTTCTACCAGGAATAGCAGCGACTGTCTCGCGAGCACCCATGGGTTTCTTTGGGAAGAGGAAAAAAGTGCACGCTTCTTTGAAGAGCCGAAGCAATCATGGAAAGAAAACCTGAGAGTTGGCGGGAGAAACAAAGCAAAGGTGCTTTCTGGAATTTAAAAACTCCCAAACGGTTCCGTTCCAGGAACCCACTTCCTTGACGTCTGTGCAGTAAGTGATAGATCGCTGGACCCTAAACAAAGGGCTGCATCGAGACACGATGGCGTATGGCTCAGGCAGATCGCCGCCTCCTCCAAGAACCAAGTTTAACGACCTGTGCAGGACAGAGCTTCAGCTTCTGCCTCTCCCGGCTTCCCGGGGCACATGTAATACAGAGTGGGGTGAAGGGGTACCATGGATGTACCCCTGCTCTGCTCTAAGAAACATAAGCACTGTATTCTTCCTTGGGGAAATAGTACAGATAATTTTTATTGTTTATGCAGTATAATCTGACAAAAGATTATATTTGCCAAAAATGCCAAAACTTCTCCAATGGGGGAGAAAGAAATTATTTTGCTAACAACACGATATATAGCCAAACACTTTCCCTCCTGATTTGTTAAACCCAAGTACTTAGAACGAACTGGCCCAATACCATATTTAACTCTAACATAATATTTTGTCAGTGTAGTGAATTTATCTTACTCAATTCATCACCCCGAGGACTGATACACATTTTTAACACTATGTCCTTGAGAGACAGCCGGCGTTTAGAAGGTAGTGCTGTACAGTGGTTAGAAATATGAGCTGTGGTGCCAAACTACTTGGGTTCAACACCTGACTGTCATTTCATTACTATGAAACTTGGAGAAGTTATGGAGTAGTCGGTTAATCAAGCATTCAACGCATCAGCTATTATTTACCTTGATAACTCCCACGTGGTAGTTACATAATTTCATGTCAACTTGAACACATATAAAAGTGTAGGGGTGGAGTTTAGCCTTGTCAATCGGGTGACAGTTTGATGGTGAGTCCGTGTGGGTGTGGCCTTCTCATAAGGAGAGTCCTGGGAACGCCCCCACCTCCTCTCTGCCTTCACCTTCCTGCTGGCTGACTCAGGTTGCTGCCAGACCCACCACCATTGGATACATACAACTTTACAGCCACCTGCCTGTGGTCTTCCTGCACGCTGCATCATTGCTTGTGACGGTGTGAGTCAGAAGAGGGACTTATGGACTAGTATCGGACTTATGGACTAGTATTGGACTTATGGACTGGGCTGGAATGTTTTCTTAATGCCTAATTACTTCTTGATATAAAACTCTTTCTTATACATATGAGTGTCTCTGGATTTGTTTCTCTAATCAACCCGGTCTAACACATCCCAATACATACAAATGAACATACAACATAGATTCTTGGTTAAGGTAAGGTTTCACTTCTGCCACCAATGGTACAACGTCACTCGGGGAACTTAAATCTCTGGGTCTCAAAGTGGTCCTCCTTAAGATTGGGAAAGTGGACTCTGATCATTCAATGTCTCTCTCATCTCTGACTTCATTTGTTTTTTGAGTTGTGGGGAATGATTGCCACCAACTAGGTAAGTATAGGATAAACGTGACCTAACATCGGTTTTCAAAAACAGTTGCGTTTCTGCTCAATAAATCCCATCTTCTCATATCCTTCCACAGAACCCTAGATCAACTAACGGCTCTAATATTTTTAGTTGGTGAGGAAGCAGTACCGTGGGTTTCTGGACAGTGTGGCCCTGCAGGCAGAGCACTGGAGAAAACTGACGGATGCTCTGCTTCTGATGAAACATCAGAGCTCCAAGCAAGTCAACCACTGTGGCTTTCCTGCACTCAGGCTTTGCCGGCAATCACGCCACTCGTTTTCACTAGCTTTCCTGGCATGGGTTACTATTGTCAGAGCAGAATAAGCCCCATTGATGGAATGCAAAGAGATCAAACTAGGGAAAAAGCAATGTTTCTAGGGACTTGGGAACAAAATGAAAAGAGGACAACTGATGTAGCGCAATGCATGTCACCATACGACAGTCCTGATCCGGGTGGGGCTGGCTTGTTATGATACTGAAACATACGTGGGCTCTTTACATCATCCAACTCTTTTCTCCTGGGAGAGAATCCCAGTACGACAATACCCCTGCGTTTCTCATGGACTGGAACTTCAATGTCCGCTTCAGCCTCACACCGACAGCAAAGGGTTACTCACAACAGCATCGGACCTGACAGTCCGCCCTTTGATTGGCTTTTGACTGCAAGGGGAGCCTTCATGTCCATGAGAAACATAAAAATAGGTTCAGGACACACAGTGCAAACAGAAATGATCAGTTAGGATCCGCCATGTCTGTTTCTCTCCCTCACTTCCTAACCCCTCACTAGGCAGCTTCAGTTCCCATCAACCCCCACCAGCGAGCTTACCGGTGATTTCCCCGTTGGTAAGTCCAGTGGGTAATTTTCAGCCCTCAGTCTACCTGGGAAGCCACCTGATGCCGGGAACGTGTCTGCCCATTTTAGGACCTGTGTGTGCATGCATCTGGGTGCACGAAGAGGCAGACCCCGTTGATGGCCTGGATGCTACCAAGGGCTGGCGGGGTGGGGTGTTCCCGGTTGGTCCTCTCCTCTTTGCCCCTTGCATGGTCCCTGAGTCATTGCCGACCAGGTGGCAATGAGGTTGGACAAGCCTCATCTTCCCCACAGGCCGTCTTGTTCACCGAGACATTTCTTACACTGCTTGGCAACATCCTGACCGTAAGAGATGTTCAATGGCGACTCAAAGGAATGATCCAGGCTCGCCTGGCTTAGCTCCTGACCTTTCATTCCACCCTGCCCCGCCCTGCCCTCCTCCAAGACAACGCTCTTGCTCTGCGGGGTGGATTCCTGGCAGGTTTCTCTCTTGTACTTGGGCTCCTCAGCCTAGAACATCTTGGTCTAGATGCTCTCCGATGTGTCCAATGCTCCGGCTACTCTGGTCTCTAACTCAGCAGGTGGAGCCAGCACCAGTAGCCGTCACCAGAACCAGACACCTGGGCCCCCTTCTTTAGCTCCTCTCCCTTCCCTGCCGCACCAGACACGCTCACCTCTCAATGTCTCTCTCTGAGAGGAGCTGTGGATTATTCTCCCTCCCTGCATTAATTGCCACCTCCCAACTCCGGCCATCACCCACACTGACAACGCTGTCACTCAGCGGAGCCGCCTGGACGGGAACCGGAGGAGAGTGGAGAACGCG